TTTGTAATACATTTGGTCTTCCTTGACATCTTGCTGTTTACATCTATTACGTTTATATTTCTGGATTATTAATTACCATGTGAAAGACTTCTCCAAATTCTTGAAGCTCCTCTTCAGTTTTACAGCCTTTGCTCATTTAAATGTGGTGTTCCCCATCAGCCAACTCACTTTCAAGAAGAACATTTTCAGAGGTCCTCTTGGTCATGTCTCTAGTACTGCAGAATACATTATAGAGCTCCCTACCCAGAGGACAGATGTGTTTTGTTTGTGTCTGGAATCAAGATGACTTTTCAGTAATAGATACTACTTTTGGCGCTTCATTGCTATGAAGTTGCTTTTTCCTTCTAGTTGCCTTTTTTGCTTTTTTTTTTGGTCTAAGACAGGTTTAATTTTATTTTCTGTTTCTCTTTTTGGGGAAGTTCCCAAGTCATTTACCATTTATTCCACTGTAGCTTTATCTTGCTTAGACTTGTTATTGAGTCAAACCAAACCAGTTATGGTAAGAGGGTCTTTAAATCAAGGTGGGAAAGATGGTAGAATGAGTAAGGGGTATAAATGTAGGATTATCAACTTAAGCAAATTTTTAAGAAAACACAGTGTATTTGGTTTTCACATCTCTTCATATTTATAGCGTGGTTTCCCTTTTTTTCTGTTACGAGTCCTTTTTTATAATTTAACTTTTTGGTTTACTTTTTAAAAAACATCTATTGAAATATAATTTACACACCAAGCTGTTCACCCACTTAAATTGTACAGCTCAAATGGTTTTTAGCATAGTCACAACCATTACCATGACCACTTTAAAAACAACAAAAGCCCCATAACTATTATCTTAGCAGTCAACTGTGTTTGTCCTAATCCTCCCTGCTTCAGTCCTAGGTAACCCCTAATCTGTTTTCCCTCTAGATTTGACTATTCTGGACATTTCATATAAATGGAATCTTACAACATGTGGTCCTTTGTGACTAACTTCTGTCACCCAGCATGAAGTTTTCAAGGCTCATCTATGTTGTGACATAATAGTATTTATGATTCATTTTTTATTGCTGAGTAATATTCCATTGTATGGATAGTCTGTATTTTGTTCATTCATCAGTTGATAAGATGTTTTGAGTTCTGGTTTACTTTTGGATTCTCAGAAATAGTTACTCAGAACTTTAAAATTGTTTTATACTTTTATGGGTTTTACACAGTTGCCAATTTTTGCTTTAGGCGGCTAAGTTTGATGTTTTTGTGGGATGGACAGTAAGTTGGCTTTGAAGCTGATAGATCTAGGCTAAGGCCAATGATTGGGAGTACTGAGCACATGGATGGTGACTGAGGCCACAGGAGTGAATAATACAGCCCAGTGTGTGTATAAAGGGTAAGAAGGAAAAGGGCCTATGATAGAGTCTGGAAGAATCACAGTGTTTAAGTGTGATTTGCTCCCCACTCCCTGTTATGGTTTGCTCCATAAAGTGGTATCTGTAACATTTAAATGCATTTACCCTTTGTTTCACATAGCAGTTCACTTCTAGAAACTTTTTCTACAGATAGTCTCACAATTGGGCAAATATTTATATTCATTGCTTGTATTTTCACAGAATCAGTCTAAAAGGCGAAGAACCCTCCCATATGTTAGGACTTTTGATACCTGTCACTTGATTTTTTTTTTTTTTAATGAACGGAATATGTATACTCATTGCACAAATAAATCATAAACACAAGGAAGGATAAAGAAAATAAGATAGGCCAGTCACGGTGGCTCACGCCTGTAATCCTAGCACTTTGGGAGGCTGAGGCAGGTGGATCACGTGATCAGGAGTTCGAGACCAGCCTGGCCAGCATAGTGAAACCCTGTCTGTACTAAAAATATAAAAAATTATCCGGGCATGGTGACGTGTGCCTGTAATCCCAGCTACTTGGGAGGCTGAGGCAGGAGAATTGCTTGAACCCAGGAGGCGGAGGTTGCAGTGAGCCGAAAATTCGCGCCCAACAAGAACTCCAGCCTGGGTGACAGAGCGAGACCTCCATCTCGGAAAAAAAAAAAAAAGGCCCGGGCCAGGGCTCAAGCCTGTAAATACCCAGGCACTGGGAGGCCGGAACGGGCGGACACAGAGTCAGAGATCGAGACCAACCCTGGGCTGACCACACGGTGGAAACCACCGCCCCCCCGTCTCTACTGAAAAAAATAACAAAAACGTGGCCGGAGCGCGGGGTGGCTCACAACCCTTGTAATCCAGCACTTTGGGAAGGACGAGCCGGGCGATCACGAGGCAGGGAGAAGTCGAGACATCCTGGCTTACACGTGAAACCCCGTCCCTACCTGAAAAATGCAAAAAAAAAAAGTAGCCGGCGACGCCGGCGGCCGCCTGTAGTCAGCTAACCTCCGAGGCGAGGCAGGAGAATGGCGGAACCTCCGAAGGCGAGGGCTGCCAGTGAGCCGAATCGGCGCCACTGCCACTCCAGCCTGCGAACAAGCCGACTCTGTCTCAAACAAAAAAAAAAAAAAAGAAAATACCAAAACTAGCCGGAGGCGAGGTGGGCGCGCCACCCGGTAAGTCTCCCAGCTACCTGCGGGGAGGCTGAAGGCCAAGGAGACTGGCTAAACCAGAAGGTGACCTTGCCAGTGGAGCTGAAGATCCGGCCACTGCACTCCGCGCTGGCGACAAAGCAGACTCCGTTCAAAAAAAAAAAAAAAAAAAGGATCAATCCTGGGCGCAGTGGCTCACGCCTTGTAATCCAGCCACGTTTCAGAGACGAGCAGCCGATCACCTCGAGTCCAGGAAGTTGAGACTATGCCGTGGCCAACGTGGTGAAACCCCATCCTCCTACTAAAAATACAAAAATTAGCTGGGTGTGGTTGTACGTGCCTGTGACCTTAGCTACTCGGGAGGTTGAGGCAGGAGAATTGCTGGAACCCAGGAGGTAGAGGTTGCAGTGAGCTGAGTTCTCACCACTGCACTCCAGCCTGGACAACAGACTGAGAATCCATCTTAAAAAAAAAAAAAAGGCTGGGCACGGTGGCTCATGCCAGCACTTTGGGAGGCTGAGGCAGGAGGATCACCTGAGGTCAGGAGTTCGAGACCAGCCTGGCCAACATGGTGAAACCACGTTTCTACTAAAAATGCAAAAATTAGCTGGGCGTGGTGGCGGGCATCTGCAGTCCCAGCTGCGTGGGAGGCTGAGGCAGGAGAATCCCTTGAACCTGGGAGGCAGGAGGTTGCAGTGAGTCGAGATTGCACCATTATACTCCATCCTGGGCAAACAAGAGCAAAAACTATGTGTCTCAAAAAAAAAAAAAAGGACAAGAAAATAAGATCATCCATAACCTTACTATTACAAATATCCACTACTTACATTTTGACATTCAGTCTTACGAATTGTTTTTGTGACTACATATACTTTAAATGAATTATATAAAAATTTTATCAAAATAGGAATTTATAATAAAAACATTATTTTTAAGGGTAATATTCTGTGGATGTCTTACTCTTATAAAACAGTAGATATGTATCATTTCTGGTGATTGTGTTGCTATTTTTTATATGAATGTTATCAGTCATTGTTTATTTAACCAGTTTCCCTCTTTATGGACCACAAGGTAGTTTTCAGTTTTTCACTTTTTTTTTTTTTTTTTTGAGATAAGAGTCTTGCTCTGTCACCCAGGGCTGGAGTGCAGTGGCACAATCTCGGCTCATTGCAACCTCTGCCTCCTGGGTTCAAGCAGTTCTCCTGCCTCAGCCTCCTGGAGTAGCTGGGGACTATAGGCGGTACACTACCGTGCCTGGCTATTTTGTATTTTAGTAGAGACGGGGTTTCACATGTTTGGCAGGCTGGTCTCGAACTCGTGACCTCATGATCCACCCAACCTCAGCCTCCCAAAGTGCTGGGATTACAGGCGTGAGCCAGTGCACCTGGTCTTCTACTCTTATAAGTGGTATTATAGTGAACAACCTGTAAGTCAATCTTCGTGCATATCCACGTTTATTTCCTTAATTTCTAAGAGTGTAATTGCTATGTCAAAAATAAGCAGTTTTTTAAAAGCTTTAAGAATATTTAGAAATACGGAATTTAAATAGATTGCTAAATCATGTGTGTTGAAGAAATTTAACTCAAAGCCTCCTGATCATAACATGCTGTGAAAGAACATGAAAATGAATCTTAGTTCATTTTCTGCTACAACAGAATAGCAGGGACTGATAATTTGTCAACAATAGTAGTTTGTTTGGCTCATGGTTCTGGAGACTGGGAAGTCCAAGAGCAGGGCACCAACACCTAAGCAAGGTCCTTGGTGCTGTGACATCCCATGGTGGAAGGCAGAATGACAAGTGAGCACACAAGACATGAGAAATAGTGCCAGACTCATCCTTTTATCTGGAGTCCACTCCTGCCATCAGCTCTCATGACCTAAGCACTTCTTAAAGGTGCCACTTCTCAACAGTGTTACAGTGGCAATTAAATTTCTTTTTTTTTTTCTTTACTTAATTTTTTTTATTTTTATTTTTTTGAGACGGAGTTTTACCCTGTCATCTAGGCTGGAGTGCAGTGGTGTGATCTCGGCTCATTGCAACCTCTGCCTCCTGAGTTCAAGCGATTCTCCTGCCTCAGCCTCCCAAGTAGCTGGGATTACAGGCACGCGCCACCACGCCTGGCTAATTTTTATATTTTTAGTAGAGACGGGGTTTCACTATGTTGGCCAGGTTGGTCTCAAACTCCTGACCTCAGGTGATCCACCCGCCTCAGCCTCCCAAAGTGCTGGGATTACCAGCATGAGCTACCATGCCCAGCCTCCAGCAGTTACATTTCAACATGAGTTTTGGAGAGAACATTCAAACTATAGCAGGTGCAGAATAAGAGACTTTAGTTTTAAGACAGGTTTTCCTTTGATACAGAAGAATTTAGTTATTACCTAATATTTAAAACATCTAAGCCAAGCATTCTGTTTGTGGTAAAGATTTCTCTTAACTGTTAGATATGACAAAGTGAATGTGTAACCAATTTTAGTGTTGTCTTTGCAGTGTATGCTGATGGTAGCATATGTTTAGATATCCTTCAGAATCGATGGAGTCCAACATACGATGTATCTTCTATCTTAACATCAATTCAGGTAAGTATGTGTTAAGATGTATTATAGTTTGTCAGTATTCTGTAGGATACAGTCAGCTCCTTTAGGAGCACTGTAACCTGCTTAGCACACAGGTAACCAATGGCAGAGCTTGGACAAGAATCCATGCTTTTCAGCTAACTTCTCTTTCAGTAATGCCTACATGGGATCCAGTCTGCAGTCCCTTTCCTGATTGTGTAAGTTACATGTTCTCACAGGTCAAACCTAATTTGTGTCCATGAAGCATAGCCAACGGTTGTGGAAAAGAAAAAAATGGCTTGGAAAAACCATAGGAACCTAAAGAAACTGCCAAGCGCAGATAAGCATTGAATGTGTTACCCCATCCAAGAAATTCTGTTTTAAAAAAAGAAAGGAAAATTAATGTAACCATTTGCCGAAGCAGTCTGGCAGAATATTTCAGAATAGATCTTTGAATGAAAATTTAGGAGGGGTGGAGTGAGGGGTGTTTTGGTTTTGTGGATTTGAGAGGAGCAGAAATAATATGTTGGTTTGTGATGTTCTTTTTAAAGTTTTTTCTGTCACACTTCTTTAATTCTGGCCTTTTTTTTTTTTTTTTTTTTTTTGAGACAGAGTCTTGCTGTGTTGCCCAGGCTGGAGTGCAATGGCTCAATCTTGGCTCACTGCAACCTCTGCCTCCCAGGTTCAAGTGATTCTCCTGCCTCAGCCTCCTGAGTAGCTGGGACTACAGGCATATGCCACCACGCCCAGCTAAGTTTTTTGTATTTTTAGTAGAGATGGCGTTTCACAGTGTTAGCCAGGATGGTCTCTATCCAACCTCATGATCCGCCCACCTCGGCCTCCCAAAGTGTTGGGATTACAGGCATGAGCTACTGTGCCAGGCCAATTCTGGTCATCTTACAAGCATTGTTTTTCAACCTTCCTATCTCATTCTCTTCCTGCTAAATGTATATGTTTTGTTGATTAAAGGAAATAAGACTTATCCCCCAACTTTTACTGTCAGACATTTGCAAAGTAACTGCAGTAGTAGAGTTTAACCTTGGAAAATGTTGGATACTGACAGATTTATTGATACTATATCTTAACCAAATTAAGCTGTTCATTTCCTTGGTTTAATGAGAAAATCTCAATACGCTTAAGAATATTCTTTTCTGATTTCTTTGAAATTATAGGTATTTTTTTCTTTTTCTTTTTCTTTTTTTGAGACGGAATTTCACCCTTGTTGCCCAGGCTGGAGTGCAATGGCGCAGTCTCGGCTCACCGCTACCTCTGTCTCCCAGGTTCAAGCAATTCTCCTGCCTCAGCCTCCTGAGTAGCTGGGATTACAGGCATACGCCACCACACCTGGCTAATTTTGTATTTTTAGAAATTATGGGGTTTTCTTCATGTTGGTCAGGCTGGTCTCGAACTCCCTACCTCAGGTGATCTGCCGGCCTCAGCCTCCTATAGTGCTGGGATTACAGGCATGAGCCACCACACCTGACCTCTTTTTCGTTTTAAATAGAAACAGAGTTTCCCTATGTTGCCCAGGCTGATCTTGAACTGCTGGGCTCAAGGGATCCTCCTGCCTCGGCCTCCCAAAGTGTTAGGATAACAGGCGCAAGCCACTGTACCCAGCCGAAACTGTAGGTCTTAAGGCAATTGAGAACATTATTTCAGAAGCTTAAGTTCCTTAGCAGCAGGAAACCTCATAGTATTTATCAAATCATTTCTAAAAGTATTTAGACCCAAAATTATATGACATGTTAATCTCTGAAGTAATTTGTTGTTTTGTATAACTTCTCTGTAATATATTCCATATCTGACCCGTTAGTATAAAGAATAACTTAAGCAAATCTGTTTTTTCTTTTCTTTCTTCCTAGTCTCTGCTGGATGAACCGAATCCTAACAGTCCAGCCAATAGCCAGGCAGCACAGCTTTATCAGGAAAACAAACGAGAATATGAGAAAAGAGTTTCGGCCATTGTTGAACAAAGCTGGAATGATTCATAATAGACAACTGGTCTGTTAATCTTTTTCATCATTGTTGTGTATAATTTACCTCTCAGTAGAAAGGCTAACAAATTTTAAGTGCCACAGGTTTTAAGGATTCTGCAGAAAAAAAAGAAAAAAGTCCTTCAGTTTAGAACCTACAAAAGCTTGTGTATCTTGATTAATGTACTTTTTATTGCATGGTGTGAACTAAGTTATTGCTGCATAAATTTGTAATATATCCTGTTTGTATTTTTTTCCAAGTGTATAATGTTGGTGTGGAGTTTTCATGACAGAATATACACATTTTGTAAATCTGTACTTTTTTCAAATATTGAATGCCTTATTTTTGAATTCTTTAGATTTTTAAATTGGAGAAAAGCACTTAAAGTTTTTTATATATGAATATTACATGTAAAGCTGTTAAAATACATAACTTCAGTGCAAGAGACTTTGTCACTTATTTCCTTATGTGTGTAGGAGGGGTTAATAAGTCTCTAGCTCTCCATCTATTGATAGTTTCATTTACAATTTCAAAAGAACATTCTTACATTTTATCAAGGAAGTCTTCAAATTTGATTCTAAATAGCAATTATAATCTCCAACTTTATTTTGAATGTACCTATATTAGTTTCAATTGAGTAATTCTAGACATAACTGGTTTGGTTCTGTCCAACTCTGTATTTAGGCCATTTGTTACAGTTTCTTCATGCATTACTTACTGTTAAAACTGTACCTTTTGCGGTTTCACAGTTAGCACTTCTGCCACAAGCAGAGAACTGACGCGACTTGTTTTGCTGCTTGGTAGCACTTTAAAAAATTTTTGATTAACGAAGAAAGTAAAACCATAAACATTTGCCAAAAATTCATGCCCCAGTATTAGCAATGAATTGATTGCATTGGTTTGAGAAAGGCACATCTTGGAGGGAAATCTTGGTGTAACTTAAATATTTGAAAATTACCTTTAATGCAATGCATATCTGTTTATTCTGGGAAATGTTTTAATGCCAGGGCCTGCTGAGTTGCTTCTTCTTGTGGAGATTTTTTTTTTTTTTAATCTCCTGAGTTGTATAAAAGTTGTACTGCATCTTAGTTTACTGGATAAATTTAAAACACAGTATTGTAGAAAGCTAATACAAAACTATCCTATGCCTTCAAATAGTATAGAAAATGGAAAATATACAAGTAAATTCTGTTGAACCACCTGTGTAGTCTCTCTAGTAGATAAAACAGCTATTTCAGTAACCCCAAGAGTTTCTTGTCATATCCATAAGATTGGGTTACAGTATGGCAATATCTACAGCTTCTATTCATTATGCAATGTTTAACATTGATTGGATAAATGATTATGGGCTGGGCCAGGTGGCTCCCACTTGTAATCCCAGCACTTTGGGAGACAAAGGCGGGAGGATCACTTGAGGCCAGGACTTCGAGACCAGCCAGGGCAACATAATAAGACTTTGTCTCTACTTTAAATTTTTATAAAATCAGTTGGGCATAGTGGCGCTTGCCTGTAGTCACAGCTACTTAGGAGGCTGAGGTGGCAGAATAGCTTGTGCCTAGGAGGTTGAGGCTGCAGTGAGCTGTGATTATGCCATTGCACTCCAGCCTGGGTGACAGAACAATACCCTGTCTTTAAAAATAAAAGCTATTACTTGGCAAATTCTGAGGTAAGTGTATGATCTTAGGGAACTTTGATACCAATGGGAATTCACTCACTGGAATCGTGGCTCCCAAAAAGATGCTTTAATTGTGTGGTGCTTTTATAATTTAGCTCCAAAACAAATTATAGAAATTCACTCCAGTAACTCCTAGATTAAATATACAGTAGCCATGAGGGTCTGCCCTCTTATTTCATTAAATGCTATCTGGTTACTACTTCAACATCGATTTTTATTCTTGACCTGTTTTTGCCTTTCCCAGTTTAAAACAGGAACATTTCAAGTATTGGTAGATTATTATAAAGAAGTTACTTTGCAGGGAGGTCAGTGAGTTCTAACCAACAAAATTCAACACATGCATAAAACTCATAGCGTCCACATTCCTTTTCGAGAAAATCCTTAAGAAGGTTCAATCTATACGCTTTTTTCAATCCTCACTTTTTTCTGCAGCCTTGGAACAGATTCCTATTTCTTTGGTTAAGTAGCAGATATAAACCTTCGATTTACAAGGTTGAGTTGTACAAAGTGTTTACTTTAAACTCTAGGTCAGTTTCATAAATGTATGCTAGGGCTAGAACTAAAATACATTTATTTATGTTGGTACAAAGTTATATTGATGGATTCATGTTAAAAAGTTTAAATGCATGTGTGGTGCAATTCCCTGTAACAATACCCCTAGCACAGAATAATCTGTGAAAGGCACTATTCTAAGCACTTTTAACATACATTATTTCGTTTCAAATTCACAAATACAGTGGCTCACGCCTGTAATCCCAGCACTTTGGCAGGCTGAGGTGGGCCGATCACCTGAGGTCAGGAGTTCAAGACCAGCCCGGCCAACATGGTGAAACCCCGTCTCTACTAATAATACAAAAATTACCCAGGCATAGTGGCATGTGCCTGTAATCCCAGCTACTCGGGAGGCTGAGGCAGGAGAATCACTTGAACCTGGGAGGCAGAGGTTGCAGTGAACCGAGACCTCACCACTGCACTTCAGCCTAGGCAACAGCGAGACTCCGGCTCAAAAAAAAACAACAAAGATGATGCTGAAACTAGGCACAGATAGATGAAGTGACTTGCTCAAGATCAACCAGCCAGTAAGTTATAGAACTAGGATTTGAACCCTCTGTGGTCTTATCCAGAAATGTGCTATCTTTTCAGAGGCTGAGATTGGTTTTAGAACTTCAACATTCATCCCAATTTGTGGAAATACTTTAATTTATTTAGTTTTATACAGACTTGTGTCTACTCCAGTGAAAACGTTTCCTTTTTTTTTCTTTTTTTTTTGAGACAGGGTCTTGCTCTTTCCCACGCTGGATGCAGTGCCTCCAGGCAGCTCACTGCAGTCTCAACCTCCCAGGCTTAAGCTGTCCTATCACCTCAACCTCCTGAGCAGCTGAGACTACAGGTGCATGCCCCCACACCCGGCTAATTTTTTTACTTTTGTAGAGACGGTGTCTCACTATGTTGGCCAGGCTGGTCTCAAAGTCCTGGGCTCAACTGATCATCCTGTCTCAGCCTCCCAAAGCACTGGGATTACAGGCATGAGCCACTGCACTCAGTTGAAAGTGCTTTCTTGACTACTGTTTTCCACTGACTTTAGGAACACTTTCTGGTTTCTATATAAAGGACTGACTTACCAATAAGCCACATTTTTCCCTTTCCTGGAAATATCCTTGAGTCTGTAGGATTTCTCTCCTCCACGCCCCCCACCCCACACACCAAGTTTCATTAATATGAATAACTTTCCATGCTTCTTGTGTTCACAGGATGGCCTAGGAATTTTTAGTTGAGCCAAAAAGATGAATGAGCTGTGCCCATTACAAACCTTGTTGATATCTGACTGCTCCACAGCTCTAAATTCACTCATGTAGGTGGAAGATAGCAGAGAAGTAAGTTATTAAAGGTGTGGTATTAGTAACCGTCTGTTTAATGCTCATTAAACAAAGTTAACTGCCTATTTATTCATTTAGTATTCTTTAAGAGATAACCCTGAGGATCATAGTATACTTCAGAGTTCGTCTAAGGTGTTTCATATTTCAGTTCTCCCAGGTTTTAAGAAGTAGGGATCAAATTTTGTAGTCTTAATGGTATTTATGACAGTTCTTTTCCATTGCATTCAACAATGTAGAGTCCAAGTGGAATCTGAGTTATGTGAGAATCATGTATTTAAATAGAAAAGTGAATAGTTGGAAAGCTATTCATGGTAAATGAAATTATCCGTAGGACAGAGGCCTTATGCCAAGATGGTAGCTCTATTACTTTAGTTCCCATCTAGTTATGGGGGGAATTAACTGTTACCAGATGGGGGAAAGATTAGTTGTCATCAGTCATTCTAGTATATGACAGCAAAGATATTAGAAACTAAATTTTATTGTTGAAAGGACTTTATTGTTTGAACAAAGAAGACACAATTAAATGTGTGCCATTCTTCCTTCAATGAATTCTCCTCACCATCACTACAGCTTTTTAAAACAATTTTGTCAGAAATATCTTGAGGTTTCAGTGCTTCTTGTGTTCACAGGATGGCCTAGGAATTTTTAGTTGAGCCAAAAAGATGAATGAGCTGTGCCCATTACAAACCTTGTTGGTTATCTGACTGCTCCACAGCTCAACATTAGTTCCTTGATGGCTGAAATCAAGAACCCTGGAAGAACTTGGGCTCCAGAGTTCTCTTTGCCATATGGAAGATTCAGACTTGCGTGAGAAACTTGCATATGAAATAACTTTCAGGAAGTAAATGCTAAAGCTTGGCCACATGTTGCTTTTGTTCATCAGTGACTTCTGGATTAATATATTTGGGAAGACTCTAATATATAATAGAGTGGGCTCTGCCTGGAGAAAGCAAAGTAACCTTTTAGCCAATTAGAGAAAGTCTTTATATAATAGTAACAGTCTTGGTTACAAGTATGATACTTCTGTAGTCTTTTAGGGGAGGTTGGCTCCTCTGAAGTCTTATTTGGAAGACAGATTCATAAAGTGCCACTGGGCTGGGAACTCCTGTAAAGGGAATTGAAGCCTGTCTCTGAAAAGATCCCCCTCTGAAAAGTTCCCCTCGGGTTCCATCAACCTGAACAATTTAGTCATTCTTCTGGAATGCAGGAGTTGTTCTCTACTGTGTCTTTAAGACTGCCAAAATGCAAACATAAAAGCACTTGAGGCAAATCCCCCTAAGAGCAAAGGGGACTGGGTGCCGTGGCGGCTCACGCCTGTAATCCCAGCACTTTGGGAGACTGAGGCAGGTGGATCACCTGCGGTTAGGAATTGGAGACCAGCCTGGTCAATGTGGCGAAACCCCGTCCCTACTAAAATTAAAAATTAGCCAGGGGTGGTGGAGGGCGCCTGTAATCCCAGCTACTCAGGAGGCTGAGGCAGGAGAATTGCTTGAACCCTGGAGGCGGAGGTTGCAGTGAGCTGAGATTGCGCCATTGCATTCCAGCCTGGGTGACAGAGCGAAACTCCATCTCAGATAAAGAGCAAAGGGTTGGTTTTACTGCTTTATTTCTGAAGCCCAAGGGATATATTGCCCTCTTCCTTTTCCCCTTTACAAACAAGATCTTTTGCCAATACCATAACTCACCAGTATAGGAGTGCTGGACTAGCAGCACTCCTGAACAGGAGAATATCAAACAAAAGGTTGAAGTTCTTTGGCTGGCCCCTATATAAAGTCATTGTATAAGATTGAATTGGAAATTTTATGTTTTTGTGTTGATGTTAGTACAAAGAAAACAACAGGAAGTTGCTTAGCTGTTAACCTCATTTTAAATCTGAGGGATATTTTCCCCTTCCTATAGAAAAAAAATGCTTTTGCTTGGCCTAATGACCATACTGGGCAGACAACAGGGTGAAGTCCAGAGACTTCAGCCCGTGTTATTAGTTTCAGCTACAGATGAGAAATAGCACTCCAAAGAAAAGCTAAACTGGTAACCTTGCTGTGTAGCAGAGATCTTTGGTCATAGGAGTATTCCTGTATGGGCCATAAGGTTGTGGTTTGAGGTGGAAACCCTGGAACATCAGCTGGAAAGTTGCCTTTAGAATAAAGACAGAGAACCTTCTGCAAGCCAGCCAAGGCAATACCAGGGCTTGGAGGTGGCGAGCTTGATAAACTAATCTGTAGGAAAAAGCTCCTGTCTTAGTGCTTAGACAGTTTTTGTTTGTTTGTTTGTTTGTTTTGGTAGAGACAGGGTCTTGCTACATTAATTCTTTGGGGCTTGGTCTTCTTTTGCACAGGGCAGCTTGAGACTACAATCACTATGGCTTCCTCTCAAAACCAAGTCAGGGATTAGGCTCTAAGAATAACAATACAAGTACCAAAGACTGAAATTTTATTAAAGCCAAAGATTGAGAACTAGTTTCCAGACAGCTTCTGGCCAAGCATGCATAGGCTGTCGGCAGGAGTCCTGTAGAGTAACAGGGGACCTCTAGGGTCCAAGCTCTGAGCTTCTGGGCACATTTTAAGTGGGTCTCACTTTCTTGTCCAGTCTGGAATGCAGTCACATGATCACAGCTCACTACAGCCTGGAACCCTTGGGCTCAAGCAGTTCC